ACACTTCAAATCATGCTTTCACACGCTACAATCACTAGGTTGGCGCCCATCAGTTTCTGTTGTTCCGACAGCGTTGCGGCTGGCCCCTTGGATTGAAAATGGGCCCATCTGCAGAGAGACCATTCCAAATTTACACTCTAAAAGCAAAGCTTCACAAGTTGTGGCCAAGGCTCTCACAGAAGACCACCTTTCCGTGACCTATCCAGACTTTCTTCGAGTTTACACAGATGGCTCAGTGAATGCATCATTACGAAGCAGTACAGCTGCTTTTGTGTTCCCTGAACTGCAGTGCGAATGGAATAACAAATTTCATCGCATGGTCTCTTCAACCACAGCAGAAGTTGTTGCAATCACAGAGGCACTCGTCGCACTAAGTCGTTACCATCCTAGAAACGTAGTGGTGGTCACAGACTCCCGATGTGCTCTTCGACGACTTCTTACGTGTACCGAAACGACAACCAGCAGGGCCAGGATCACCCTCCAACATATGGAAGCAAACGGATTCGTGGTGCATTTTCAGTGGGTCCCGTCTCACATTGGGATTAAAGGAAATGAAGCTGCTGATCGGTTAGCCGCACAAGCTCATCATCGGACCCCATCGCTCGAACCACCTGACGACCCTCGCCAACATAGAGCAGCTGTTCGCCGACACATTGCGTCTTTGCATCTAGATACGAATACTCACTACCCATGCATAACGAAGGGACTATCGCGCCTGGAAGCTACAACCCTGTTCCGATTACGTACAAGAAGTGCTAGGACACCCGCGTGGTTATACAAGATTGGAGACACGCAGTCTCCGCTTTGCTCAACATGTGCCGTCCACTGCGACCAAAACCACCTGCTTCTGGAGTTCCCAAACTTTCAATCACAAAGAGATACGCTTTTCCAGCGTCTCCGGGCGATCGGCGTGGCACATGCAACTGCAGATGACCTGACTTTTCCTAGCGGTTCACGATCCCACCGTGAAAAGACGCAGCGCTTTCTACTCGACTTCTTAAAATCGACGACTCTGCTTACACGTTTGTGACCATATCTCCTTAACCGAAGATGCTCCCGATGTAATTGCGTACTTTGGAGCGCACATAAGTGTTGCTTTAGGACAATATGTGTGAATGTGAATATGTATGAGTGAGGTTGTATGTGAGCAACAAAGCCAACACATCAATGTTAGGCTATTTTGTTCTTAGCCCGAGACTGAGGCAGGAAAAGAGGAAAGTTTCGAAGTAGAAGAAAAATGAACAGTCGAAGACACGTCTCTAACACAGCTAAAGACAAGTTTATTTGGTCACCTTTTCACAAACTTCACCACAGCACCTTCCCGATCTCGAAAGCCAAAAGATAACAAAGGTCTCACATCTTTCCACCACAATTGTCAAACGACCTTGACGTTTTCCACAAAGCAATGAACAATAGCTCCCCTCATCCGGAAGACACTTGTCTGAATCCTTTGCGTACACAGTACACTCTCTCCCTCTACTCTCCGACCCCATAATCACAAAGCATCCCGGTAACAGAAGATATCAATCCACGTGATACACAAAGGAAGAAACCACTTACACCTTTACATTCAACAAGCACTTCACAAAACTTTCAAATCCGCAAGAATGATTTTGCGCTTCTGCTAAGCTGTAACGACACCTGACTAATGCAGTTGCCCATTGATTTCATTCTTATTGTTTCTTTTACAACCCTTTTGATGTCGTTTAACTCCCTGTGTATTATCTCTGTTTCAGACCAGTGGGGTATACAATTATTACATTCTTGAACATGTTTCGCTATTTCCGAATTGGCAACGTTGTTTTTGACATTCCTTTTGTGTTCAGTCAATCTGCCCCACATATTTAAAGCCACATTCCAGGGGGATTTCATATACCACTCCATTACCACACGGAATAGACTTTTCTCGGTGCGTTTTTGCGCATTCCCTTACACTTTTGTGGAAGGGTGTGAGCTTACTTAACTTATAATCCGAACTAAAAACCAGATCTACATTGAACTTCTTGGCACAAGCCTTTAAGTTGTGAGAAATTTTGTGATAAAATGGAATTACAATAGTTCTATTTTTTGGCCTTTGCTTTGGTTCTCCTGTACATTTGTTTGCGAATTTTACGGATAACTGCTTCCTTACGAATTCATCCTCAGTCTCGGGCTAAGAACAAAATGGTTAACATCCACCAGCTCGCCTGCGCAATCTCTACATTATTATTAAAACGTCATTCTCTCTCTCTCTCTCTCTCTCGGAGAAAAATATTCCGAGTGCCAAAATAGCAAAACTTTGGCTTTGGATCATGAATTAAACTGGATTTTGGATGGTAAACAGGGTTGCCAAACCCAAGTCTCAAAAGATCACGCATGATCGCCGAGAAATCGCCAACCGCCCCTCGGTGTGTCTGAACAGCATGGAGAATAGAAGGGTAGGAGAGGGCATGACGTCGGCCGCGTAGCCTCCACAAGCCATGCTCCCTTGACGCCTCGCCTCTTTCTCATTTTCCTCCTTACTCTCCTCACTTACCATGCCGACCTGACCACAACCACTGCACCACATTTTTTTTTTATAGCCTTCGTCTTGCTATGGGGTACTAGAATACACCACAGTCTAGACTTCGATCTCATAGAACCTACCGGACGGGGCGCGTGCAAGCCTGCAAGAAATCCTTCTACAATCAACCATCCATCTCACACGTGACATGTCACGCGCACCAATCGCCAGAGAGATCTGCGGTCACGCTGGGCACAAAATCGTTTAAACTTTTTATGACTAGGCTTCACCAATATTGCAACGTGCCCCCTCCTAGCTGAACAGGGTCGCTCGCGAACCGCATCCGCGACCGCTTCGCGAACGCGGATCCGCTTCCAGTGTGAATGCGCCATAACAGTGGCTGTAACGATTCATCGCGATCGCGGTTTTGCTCACGCGTTGCGATCATCTAAATTCTGTCACTTATGTAAAAAGACATGATTCATGCGACCTAAACTTGACACCGGTAATTGTATTTAGATTTTACCGAATTATACATTTTCATAAGTTAAAAATGTTGCTTTTACAAGAACCTCCGATGTGGCGTTGCGCATTTCCCTCTAGGGACATTTTTTGGTGTAAAAATCTCAATGAAGTTACAACCACTGATCTCTACCTTTTCTACGTGGGCGCCGCCATCTTCAATTCAGGAGCTTCCGGTATGCGTGAAAACATCGCTTTCCTCTCGCCTCACCGGTAGAACATGTTAACATTTTAATTGCAACCGTTATTCCTTCTTGTCATGTCCTTTCCATACTTTTCTTTCTTTTTCCACGTTGAAATCGCTTGCTCTTTTACGGAACGCATACCGGATATCGGGACAACGTGGCTGGGTACGAGGCTAAACGAAAAAAGTCCAGCGGTCCGGCTTCAGGGCGCTGCCATCTTGCTCGGCTAAGGTGCGCTTGGACATGCCGTAATCCGATTACGAAGCCTTAGTAAGGCGTCGTAATCGGGTCATGGCCGCTCCCAAGCGCACCCCACCGAGGAAGAGGGCGGCGCCCCGAGACCGGACTTGCAAAAGCACATAGGGGACTGGATGGCGCTTAGCTGCTCTCCGAGCCTGGCGAGAGTGAAGCCACCGGAAGTTCAATGCTTGTCCCGGAGGTTGGGCATGCGCTGGGCTTATGATGTACCGCAGGAAAGGCAGTACAACACAAGATGGACACAAAAACACGCGGACGACGTGTTTTTGTCTTTGATTGGGTTTTAATACTCCCGTTCTGGATTAAATCCCGAGAATGAGGCGTTTGAACTTGGGACATAGTCACACATGATAAACTAGAATCTCAAAATGTTTACATTGAATGGCTTCCCATGATACTTCTCGGGTCTGCATGCGCTCTTAACTGCGCAACAAGCTGGCTCTCTTGAGGGAACACGCGAAAATTCAGCGCCCTCGACGCTTTTCGAACCAGCACTCGAAAGGGTTACAAAGCCTGCCAAGCGCTCACTTCCGGCGGCTTCATACTTGTTTGCTCGACGAGCCATCCAGAGCCGTATATGTAGAGAGTTTGGTCAATGGGAGGTGCGGGCAGAGCCAGGGCGTGCGGTGGACTAGGAAAGAGGGCTTGGCATGCTCTCTTGACCAACCAGAAGCAGAAAAGAATCCCCTAGCGGTGGTAGTTAGAGACAGTTCTGATCAAAGGTCTATGTTCGTATATTGTTTTAATAAGCGCGTAAGAGTGAAGTGTAGCAACTCTTTATGGTTGAAAATAGGGTTCACGTGTTGTTTTGATCATGATCATACAGAAAGATGTAAAAAACGAATGTGCCACCCAACTCCGTTTTGCGCGGACAGAGTGTGACCGCTCGGACGCCAGATTCCCGGCCCTCGGCGCACAGATTATGTCGATCGTTCCGCTAGTCGCACTCTTCCACCATCATTTTGAATGAGTGTGATTGAAACATCACGTGTACCATATATTCAGCTATCGAGAGTCACTCTAATGCAGTTATGAGGTTTGTTTCTTGCAACCACCGCCAGGGTATTATTTCCGGCTTCTGGTTGGTCACATTCAAATTTCTCAAGACGCCCTGGAACACGCCCAGCCCGCTTTCGGCCAATGGCACCTCCTCATTTGTCTCCTATACTTCCCAACGAATGGCCAAACTCTACATATACGGCTCTGGCGCCATCCAGCCCCCTCTAGTGGAGATCAGTGGTTACAACTCAATCGCCACTCTTCGTCGACGTCATCAACGCGCCGCGATGAAGTTGTTGAGTTCGCCGCCGATTGAGATTAGGCTCCTCCCACCGGCGACGTCACGATGAAGTTTCTCCATCGCTTTTTCCAGCATAGACAGACAGGTGCCCTAAACGCGTACGTTCCACGCATTGCAATTTGCACCAATTACGTTTCCTATAAATTGCTTCCTCACGGTATAGCGGTACAGCGCAGGGGGCTTTCTCAAGAGTGATACATAACTCACGTTCGCTTTGACGCGAATATGATTCCAAAATCACAGAGAGAATCCAGACCGTTATAGGCAATTTATTGGGGAGGGAGATAGGGTGGGGTTGTTGACTGATCGTTTACATTAAATCTTCAAAGCCTTCACTGCTTTACAAGCATTATCTTTTCATTACATTCACTCCATTTTCAGCCTTGAACGTAAGAATACGGAGTTCTCTCCAACGCCGAGGACGAAGTTGCGGAGCTCTTGTTTTCTGAGAGTTTGTGTGTGAGAGAACAAACACAACTGGAGTGTTTGTTTCATTTCATGTTGGCTTTTTCCGACACCATACTCAGCCGTGTCAATCTACAAAGGTCTTAACTGTCGAAAATATTTGACCGCACAGGATAGCCGAAATGTATGGGTATTCCCCGCTCACACCATGAAATTCAATGTGTCTCATCAATCGAACAACAGCCCCGATGTAAGTGCACTTTAATTGACAATTTTAAACAAAAAAACAAACAATACTGAATGACTAAACAAGGGACTTCAGATAGTCCTTCACCACAACTGAGGGGTTTGCGCTGCACACCTTAAAAAACACGTCCACATCTAACTTCACATAACTTGTAGAGCTGGGCATGCGAGCCCATACTGACACATTCTTAAGGCTGATCGGTTCTCTTGGCTTGTTGTACCATGAGAATCCTGCATTCAAACCTGCCGAAGATGATGACGTTGGCTTCCTTTCCAAATTCTGACTTTTGTGACTTATTACAGTGTAGCATTCTTTAGAGTTAGGATGTCTGCTCTGCAGGTGGTTTAAGACTTGTGTCCTGTTCATGCAAGGTTTCTTGCAATGACCGCACACTGCAAAGAATTTATGCTTTCTGCTCATGTGACAGTGAAGCTCAGTCTTTGTGGCAAACCTTTCAGTGCAGGTCTTGCCTAAACAGAGAAAACCCTTACTGCACGAGGGCTGTTCCCCTTGTGGATTGTCTTCACATATCGATGGGTGCTGCTCATGTGCCTCGCTTTGGCACCTTAGTAGGCGTTGGCATTGGGCGTCATCCTCGCACCGGACATTCCCCTGTGCTATCAATTTAGTTCCTGGTCTTTCATTTTCCGGCGGTGTCGGTTCAGGGTCTTCATCCACCTCTGTTTTGTCTTCCTCGGACTGCAGTTCTACTTTCACTGACACTCTGGTGCTGAGTTCCCTGACTGGTGCGTTCAGGTTTTCATCTTCCCGTTGGCAAGGTGTTTTCTGCTCTCTGTCGCAGGCAGCGGAAACCCTCCATCCGAAGTTTTTCAACAACTTGGCAGTACTTTTCATTTTGGTTGCACAAGGCTGAGTGCTGTGTCGTAGGGACTTGTGCATGTGCAGCATGTGCTCCGAAGGCGCGACGTGCTCGCACCGGTCGCAAGGTAAACCAGATTGTCTCTCCTGCCAGGAAGTGGATGGGGACGCTTTGGCAGGTGGAGACGCCGCGGTAGATGAACGAGGTTCCGAAAGCGGTGGAGGGACGGCACACTTCTTCGCCACGTCCGCCTTCACCCGCCCGTGGCGCTTGGGTACCACATACTTGAAGGCCAGGCCTGGGTGTGCCTTCCTGTAATGCTCCCGAACAGTGCACAATGTCTCGGCCCTGAAACTGCATTGCCCGCACTTGCGCTCGCCTGTGGTTACTTTCTTTGAGGCAGAGGATGTGCCCGCGACCCGAGGACTCGACGGCTTGTGCGTGTTTTTGGTGTGCCACCGGACCACCTCTGGGCTGTAAGAACTGAACTCGCAGAGCGCGCACATATTGGGTTTGGGCACGTGGTCGGCCCTTACATGGTAGGCTACGCACTCCATGTCGGTGAAGACACGACTGCAGCCCTGCCACGGGCACTTCGCCGTATCGAGGGCCTCCACTTGGGCATCCAGCCTCTCCACCTCCTCGTCTATGCATGTGTCGACCTCCATTTCCGTGGGCGGAAGCCTGAATTCCTGCGTTGGGAGAATCCCCTTCGTCCTATGCCTCTTCCACTCGTGGGCCTGTGCTTCGTCAACTGTGGTGAAGTATTTTCTGCAAGGTTCACAAGAGTGCGGGAAGTACCCCCTGTGGATGTAAAGGTGGGAGCGCAGTTGAGACAGGTCCGTGAACTTCGTCTGGCACTGCTTGCACTGCAGAGCCATCTCAGTCTCACTTGGTTTGTTTAGCTCCTCTGCGCTGGCTACGTCGACCACTATGGAGCCACTCTTCTCCACCTGCATAGTCGCAGGCTGCTGCTGCTTTTGCATGGCCCTTGGCCTGATTCCTCGAAGCTTCATCACTTGAAACCTAGCAATGAACTCCTCGAACAGAGTCCTCTGTCCTTCAGTCCTGATGAAGAGCACGAGTGGATGGTCTTGGTGGTAAGTGGCCAAATGCCAAAGCATCTCTTTGTACGACGGTTCAGAGTGATGGCAGTACACACACTGAACCACGTCCATGTCGTGTTCAACGCAGTGCCGCACAAGATCTTTTGCACAGACTGTTGTTATGTCGCAGATCTTGCACCGGTATTCTGAGGTCCTCGGGTGCTCATTTGACAGGTGCCATTCGAATGCATCTGGGTCGAGGTGCTTGTAACTGCAGCCTGGCACGCTGCACCAGTAGTGAGTGAGTGTCACACTCTGGCTAGCGAACGACTTGCTTGGAGATTCTGTAGGGATGTTTGGACATTTGAAGAAGAGCACTTTCTTTTCGTGGTGAGAGTGATGATGGTGGATTTGCAGATGAATGAGAAAGGCGGAGCGGTAAAGGCACCAGCCACACTGGTAGCGACGTTGGCCGTGACACGAGACCATATGCTCAACAAGAGCAAAGATGGCCTCGAATTTTTGACTGCAGTAGATGCACATGAGTGCACCGAGCTCCTTCACAGTGTGGGCTCCAAGGTGATCGAAAAAGGGCCGTCGGGTGTCAGACGTGAACTTACAGTCTGCCAACATGCACTTGAAGAATGGCTCTATTGCAGTCGTCCCAATAAGGTCCTGTCTCATTTTCATGAAAGAGATGTCCGGGTCTTTGTCGCCCGTCAAGGGCTTGGAGTCACCCTCTGCATCTTCGTCGGAGTCAATGTGAACGGTTGATGAGACCAGCGGTGAATCCTCCCGAGGAGGGTTGCAGCTTGTGCTCGGCTTCTGTGAAAGAGGCATCTTGGAATTCAGTGCTTCATCGATGGAAGTGACGGTTGTATGCAGAACCATATGCTGCTTCTGTGCCTTGGGATTGAGAGACTTTTTCCCACAGAGGTTACAGATGTTGGAGAGTGGAATTACGTGGGATTTGATCATGTGCTCTAGCAGCAGCTTTTGGGAGGTGCACCCGAAGCTGCAGTCGCACATGTAATGCACAAGCTCCGTAACGTCAGCAACGTCGCCCGACTCCCGACGCAGCGTCTTGGGCACAGTCTTTGAGGTTGTGCCCGACGATTTGCTTGCACGGTTCGAAGACAACTCCTGTAGGGCAGTTTTCGGCTGCTCCGTACATGCATCTGATGCAGACAGAGCACCATCTGGATCTTGGACTGGAGGCTCCTCACAAGTAACATTTGCGTGTTGTACCATATGCTGCATCTGTGCCTTGAAGCTGGGAGCCTTTTTTTTGCAGAGGTTACAGACATTGGAGAAGGGAATTATGTGAGATTTTACCATGTGCTGTTCCAGCAGTTTTTGGGAGGTGCACCTGAAGCCGCACTCGCACATGCGACACAGGAGCTCCGTATCCTCAGCAACGTCGCCAGACACATGACGAAGCCTACCGGGCACCACCTTTGAGGTCGAGCTTGATGATTTGCCTGGCCAGTTTGAAAATGCCATCTGTAGGGCAGTTTTGGGCTGCGCCGTGCATGCAACTGGTGGCGCTGGGGCAGACGGAGCACCGCTTGGATCTTCGACTGCAGGCTCTTCACTGGCGTCCATTAGTTCGGGCACAGCTCCACCATTTGAAACTATGCGGTCTTCGGTCGTGGGCTCGTCGAAGGGAACCTGGAGCACGTGTTGTCTCGAAGTGAAGTTGAACTGTATTGGCTTGCTGTTGAGGTTTCCATTGGTCACGGCACTTGCCTGATTCGCTGCACTGATGGCAAGAGGTGCTGCTGTCGAAGGCTGGACGGGAAAATCCTGTGTACTTGAGACTAGCGAAGACCACTGCATCACAGGCTGCGGCATCGTCTGGCTTGGTGGCTGAGGCAGTGATAAGCCGTTGGCACTTTGAGGAATAGCAGTAGCTGGCATCGATGGAGCAGGCATTATGTTGAAGGGCATTCTTGCTATATCAAACATATCCCTGGTTTCTAAAGGCATCACCGAAAAAACCTGGTTACCAGCCGAAGCACTAACACAAAGTTGTCCAAGGTTGCTAGGGGAGACGGCAGTCAGCGCACTGTGGTACGGGTCCTGTTCGGAGCGTCGCTCCCCGCCCAGGCAGATCGCATTTCTATCGACGACAGCATTGCTTTCTTGTTGCGCCATCCAGTCCTCCCGTTTAGGGTGCTCCATGTCCTATGCGCCAGCTTGAAGTCCTGTAACGAAACAATGAAAAGGCAACGCGTGATCAATCAAATAAAATGCACGCAGCTACAGAAAAAAAGAAAAACAGAATTAACGAAGTACAAGGGGAATCCGAAGGCCGCTGCCATTAGGGGTGGCTATCATTTGAGCCCGTTCTCGTTTCGCCCTTCTCAAAACAATCATTCTCAAAAAGATCTTCTCTCTTGGACCTGTCGCATTTGGCCCTTTCCCGTTTCGTCTTTCGCATTTCAACCCTCCTCATCTGAGTCCGTTCTCATTTCACCCATCTTACTTGGCCCTTCTCAAAAATATCTCTTCGTTTTGGCCGGTCGCATTTGGCCCTTTCCCGTTTCATCTTTCGCATTCCAACTCTCCTCATTTGGGCCCGTTCTCGCTTCGCCCTTCTCCCCTGGCCCTTTTCAAAACAGCCATTCTCAAAAATAACTCGCTTTGACCCGTCGCACTTGACTCTATTCACACCAAAATCGTTTTTTAAGGTAATATTAATAAATACATTGATATATTTTGTGCGTGTCTGTGTATGCAACGCTACAGGCATACTTTCTCTGCTAAGGATTTTAGCAGTGCGTCGAGGTCGTTGTGAAAAGCTAATAGCTGACAATAAAACAGACCAACTATTTATCGCAGTCAGATCATATTCCGAAATGTCATGTTGTTCGAGGTCTCTCGACTTGGGACAATGCCTCCACTTCTATAATGCAGTGGTTCTCAAATACAGGTCTGCAAAGGCATCCTGGGGGTCTGTGAAGCCCTGTCTCAATAGTCAAGCACGGCATAATTAGTTGTCTTTCTTCACGTTGAGAAGAAACGTTCCAATTTTCGGGTCAGTACTCACCTGTCTATGTCAATGAGATAAGTCTACTTCACACTAGCAATTAGTTATAGTCTTTTATTAAATCATTATCATGATAACCTATACCTTTTTATTCCCCGCACCCCAAACGGGGTCCTCCATCATCCCCGCCTTTCTACAAGGGGTCCGTGAAACATCAATGTTTGAGAACCACTGCTATTATGTATGCTATTTCAGTCCAAACAAAGTTTCCAAATTAAATGTTCATCGCTTTTTTTTTTTTCTCTCTCGTTTGCTTAGAGGACGGGAAGCAGGCGTCATTGTACGATTCACCGTGCTTACCTCTACACATAACATATATCTGATGGTATGTTGGGGGCCCATGCAAGGTAAGGCTCATCAAGAAAATCGCGAAGGCATAACGACGTTAGAAGCATGCTGAACCAGTGTCATTCGGTCGTAGAGCGAACGGGCGAAATGAGAATGGATCCAGTTGCGAAAAATACAATTTGGATCTTATGAGAAGGTTCAAACAAGGCGGACCAAATGAGAATTGGACGAAATGCGCACGGTCGAAATGCGAATGGGACGTTTTCAGAAAACGGGCAAAATGAGAATGGGCCCAGTTGCGAAAAACGCGATTCGGATCTTATGAGAAGGTTCAAACGAGAAGGACCAAATGAGAATGGGACGAAATGTGCAAGGTTCAAATGCGAATGGGACGTTTTGAGATACACCGCCGTACGACGCCCAAACGACAAGTAGGCTACAAACTTGCCCGGATCTCGTAGTTGGTCGAGGACAGCATTGAGAGACACCGGAACCGATTTACGAAAACTCCCCATTCGAACCACCGTGCTCGCGGAGCCACAGACCTAGCGAGCGGCGTGAAATAGCGTGACGGGGCGACATTGGGGCTGGCCTGTGGAGCTGGCAGGGTGGGGGCAGGGTAGCTGGCGCGCAGTAGGGTCGGTAGAGTCGTCGGAGCACTCACAACCTTTGTTCCTCGACGCACATAAACAAAACTAGATATTTTCTAAGAATGCTTTCTTTCGTATTGATTAACTCGAAGCGCAGGCGAAACTTAAAAGAAATTCAACGTTTGTGGATTAAAGTTAGGCGCGTACCACAAGGAGACAGCTAAAATTGGTTTGTAAATTGCACTCTTTCTTATGTCGGAAGGTGGTCGGAGGGAGCGAAGGGACAGGAAATGGCGAAACCAAACGTACACTGACGAGAGCGGGCAGAGCAAGGGCAGAGTCATTCCGTTGGCGCGGTTGGCGCGGGTTGGCGCGCCCGGCTACCTACTCCATATACCCTTACTTGCCCTTACTGATCTACCCCATCAACCCTCCCATCACGTTACGTGTTATATACGTCATCAGATCGCTGAAACAGCCAGCCAAGCGCCAAGCCGTGAAGGCGCACGTAAGCAGGTCAAGCCGAGCCAAGCCACTTATTGTTTGTTTTGCTGTTCATCTTTGAATATGGCGTTTGCTCTGGAGGTCGGGTGTGCAGCCAGCGGCACTGGGTCGACGCTATGATTGGCGTTTTTGCCCGACGATAGCCATAGTTTGCTCTCGGTGTGCCTCGACGACGAGTCGTACTCTAGCCTCGCGATCGTCGTGGTGTTCAACCGTCTCCAAACAACGTGGTCGGAATACCATGCTTCGATGGGACGACAGATGTCATGGCGTGCTCCCTGGGTCAGCTGCTTTCTGTAAGGAAACTCCCCGAATGGTCGCTGACGCTCGCTTTTTTGTCACGTCTATTTCTTCTACGCACCATCGGTTACGGATTTTTCCGTTTTTCTGTGATTCGACTGTTTCTGTTTGTCGATGATAGTTTTGTCACGAACCGGAACTACGTGAGCCGACATCGTATCGATTTTTTCGACACCCGCGACGCGCCTTCGTGATCGAAGTTCTTTAAAATCCTGCTTCTTCTGCTAGGTGTGTGTAGTGTTTGCGGAGATTGTGTCTCATTTGAATTTAGTCTGCAAAGACACGCTAGATTTATGCGCAAGTTTTGAGTCCCTCCCTAGACCTTGTCCTCGTGCCAAATCGTCCATAGTCTTTAGTCAAAAAATAAGCGCTTTGCCAACTCTGTTTTTGTTTTTTCCTCCTTCGTGCGTTACGATTACGAGACAAGGTGAAAGAGCCTTGAAAGATTGCCATTCTTAGAAAAACACGCGTTCACTTTTTTTTTTTTTTTTTCGTTTCTTTCGCGTAACAACACCCGAAGAAAAGCAAAACAAGAAAACCTCGCGATATCGGTCAAAGCCACCTGTCCGGCGTGCTTTTGTGGAGTTCCTGTTTTATCATATTGTTTTTGTTTTTACTCCACTATCAAAACATCGAGCGATCTCTGTGGACGCGGTCACGCGGTTCTGGCGTGGGCCGGTGGGTTTGATGGCGGGATCAAAAACCTCGTTACCGTGTCGAGGTGAGCGTTCGCTCGATCGCCGTCACACGTGGGAGGTTATCGGTATCGCGTTTTCCGGTACGTGCCTTCCCTCATTCCCTCGACTTCAAAAATACTCGGAAAGAAACGCAGAAACTCGGCAAGCTTAAAAAAGAACTTGCCCAAAACGGAAGGCCGGTCTGCTAACGTTTGGCTGTCGTCCTCCCTACAATCACGAAGGCGACGCAAACATCGACGTCGAAAACGCACGCGACCCGATAGTAGGATGTTACGTGAATTCGCTGCAAAAAGCGGTGACGTATTTTTTTTTTTTTTTTTATTTCTTTAGGGCATCCCGCGACGAACGCTGCACTTTCGTGTGTTTGCTTGAAAGGGAAGAAAGAAACAAAAGCGGAAGGGGACTTGTCGTTTCTGTCTTATTTTTGCTATATTTCGCGCACTTCCGCACCGGGAGTCTACTTATGGTAGGCCAGCAAGCGTCCTCGTGCGTAGGCGCGTGCGAAATCGTCGCTCTGACGCGCGCACCCTTTCCTGCGAGGCAATTTTGGTCGCATCTGTCGTCATTCTCTTCCACAGCTCACGCTGACACTTTGTCAGGGATCGGCCAGTATTCAATTGGACCATTGACTGCATTACTGAGCCTTCGTGAACTGTCAGTGGTTTGGACTATGACGAGCCAGCAGCAAAGGTTTGCAAAGTATGTTCGTTTGGGCGATGGCAGTGTGCCCACAGGAAGAGCTCGAAGCTCCTTCAGGCTGTCGAAGGTGGCTGTGCTCTTGGAAGCCGGGTTTGTGGCGGTGCACCGCAGGGCAAGCATCAGGAGAAAGTATGACTTGGTAAATTGCATTCTTTGCACGTTGTTGCAGCTGTGATCCGTTGGCTTTCAGCAGTGGGTACGCTCTCTACTTGTCTCAAGCTAGCTTTGTGTGTAATGTGCATGTTTAGCCAGCAAGAAGTTAATCGGCCCCAATAGCTGTCCGGTGTCTCCTCTGTAGGTGACAAGTTGGCCTGTGGTCTTTCATGCTTCACGCGGTAATACACAACTCTACGCTGGTCCGCCGGTCAAATAGAAACGGGCATTGAACCCAGGTTCCCTGTGTTCTGCAGCAAGAGCTCTTGCTCCATGTGCTCCATGCTGTGGTGCGTCAACACAGCCAGCCACTGATCCTCCTTGAGATATCAGAGGTGATGTGACAAGAACATATTGTCTTTGTAGGGCGATTCTGGCTGACTATTGCTGTGTTACTTCGTTTGGAAGACGGGACTACAAGCTTGATCCCGGCAAAGCACGGTTTACTGTCATTGGTTTAGTGTCGTGGAGGAAGAAAGCATAAAAGTGTGCTCGTGTATTACTCTCTTTGTGTGTCTCATTGAGATCTTTTCTCTTTCCACTTTTTCATGACCAACTTTGTAGCTTTTGTTTTAGACCGCAGCTCTTAGGCGTTCGCTTTCGGCTTGAGCGACGTCGCCGTCGGCGTAACCGCGGTGCAGTTTCGGGAAGTACATTTCCCTCCTCCTCCTCAAGTGCTGCGCTCTAATTTAGCGTTACAAGGAGTTGTAAACGGCTTTCATTTTTTTTATACACTTGGGCAGCGTACAGTTCTTTCGACAGCTTTATACTATCGGAATGAACAGAATGAAATGCAAATGCCTAAATGGTTGGCCTTCGGTAGATGCTGGTTGACTAAAGTGCGGAGGGGAGGCCCCGAGGGTTTGCACGTCGGAGTAAGCACACATTTTTTGTTACCCCCTCTCCCTTTCGCTGATTTATGAGCCTCCAGGTAGCACAGCATGTATGGAACGTCACGCCTTCCGGTGTTTGCATGTCATTCTGTTCTGATGGCACATAACAAGTTCAGTGCTTCAGGTAATTTGGGGACAACAGAGTCTTCAGAACCACAAGAGGGGAGTCACAAAGGGGATTAAAATGAACCGTGTGATTGTCCAGCCTTCATTCACTTGTCAAATTTTGTGCTACTGAGCACTTCTCGCTCCGCATTGCTGACTGCATGCAAATCGGTTCCACCAAGAGCCGCAAAGTTAAGATTGGTGGCCAACCATCTGTAACCGCTGGAAAACAGCACCATGTGGTTTGGAGCCATGAGGGTATTCCAAAAACATTTATCTTGTGACTCCCAACAGATCTGTGAAGACACTCCTAATTATTAAACTCATTTAAAAAAAAAAAGAAATGAACCTGCAAGAATCTTGCCAAAAATCGACACTTCAGTGTATCCATTCTCTCAATTTCAAAGAAAAGTTTCATCTTGCCGACAGAAGATTAATTTCTGGATTCTAACACATTTTTCCCACTCATAAAGATCGAATGGAGTGCATTGTAATACTGCAGGACATTGGATGTCTGCTTTCAATGATGGCAATGAAACTTACTTTTTGTTTCACCTCAGCTGCAAGAACCACCAAGGTCTTGCAGCTGCCATTTTAGCCAATTACTTTCTGTTCTGTGCGACCAGATTCGACGGGAACAATGAGGCACCTCTACGGTTTCTTTTGTTGCCTTGTTCTGTGCGGTCTTGGCCCAATGAAGATCGCTTGTCTGCTTTGCTAAATGTGTCGCCTGCCTTCCTTCCAGCTGTTGGATGCTGCTGCAGCAAAGCCGGGCCTGATGCCCCAGGACTCGCGAGCTGAGTCCGCCTCAGCCGAGTGGATTCCCAGTCACCATGGTCTCACCCATGACGCCACTGTCACCAGGTGACTTATTTCGCTGCTCGTTTTTTTGCCGTTTGCATGGATTGGATACTTTTTTTTTGCGGTTTAGCATGACTGGAGGTGGCCGAGGCAGCCTGAACTGAACATAACAATGGCAGTGGGTCGATTGAATCCAGTGCTTTTGTAAATGTATTTGAGGATAGGGCTGGAAGCCCATTGCCTCATCAGTTGCACTTACTGTAACGTCTAATTTTTGTATGAAACTAATTTTCACGGATTTCACAGTCCGAATGATGAATTGAAAGAATGGATAGGCACCAATATATTATCTCACTGGTAACGATTTCATAGTGTACCTCTTCTAGTCGCAAAAGTTTGTGCTTGCGTAATATTCCCAAAATCCCACACTCCACAAAGTTTGCAATCTATTGAGCTGGCCAAAAAATAAAGTAGTTTACGGTGCCTTTTTTTTTTGGTGCCAAGTCGGTATAGAAGTCTGGCCTGCCGACATACCGATAGTATAGTATGTTGTTGTAAATCCTTAAATGGAGAAACATGTATTAATTTATAACTTGGTGAAAAAAAAAAAAAAATGCAGTATTTGTCACATTGAGGACAACGTTTTTTTATGGGAAGCTGCCAACGTGCAGCGAAACACAACACAACTGTATTTCTAAGGTCCATTGACCCCGGTCAAAAGAGCTCCGAGGCAGCTGGTGGCGCACAGCTGCAGTGAATTGTGCCGAAGACTGTATCACATATATGCGTTTTATCGTCTTTTGGGCAGCCCTGGAATAGCGTTTGATTAGAGCGAAGCTTTTGTAGGGAGACCACATCTATGAGAAATGGTAGTTTTGTCGAAAAGTACCTCGAGTCCATAGTGAAAAAATGTGGAAATGTAGGCAAATTGCGAGACAAGATAACACCAGCGTGTTATCTTGTCACGAGCGATTTCCAGGGAGCACAATGCGCTTGGTCAGAACCGAGTGAGTGCGAAACAGCCTTAAGTCTTCGTTATACTCTGATGTTGAGCGTAGCGAACGCAGCGTGGTGCTGAATGTGCACCTTTTGTTGGCTGGCAAGCAGGAACTTGATGTCTGTGACTAATCGGTGTCTGCATGCGCCGCGCTACGCCGCGTCTGTTACGCTTGACGTCCGACGATAACGGAGCCTTTAAACCGTCATATCCCAAGCAGTTGTAGCAGTCGACCGTATGCAAACACGACTGAGTGTACCAGCCTTAAAGGACAACTCCGCTTCATTTTTTATATTTAGAACACTATGCAGCCCTCTTCAGTATCGTATAGGAAGACCCCATGTCAAATATTACGACCTAATTCCGTCTATATATTTAATAAACGGGCCAGCAAACTTTCAAATGAGCCAAGTTGCCGAAATTTGCCAACTCTAGCGTGCGACGTGAGGCATAATCATCAGCGCAGTCAATGCCACGGAGCCACTACGTCAGAGGCATGTCTATGTCATTCTCACGTTTTGTTTGTTTTTACTTCTCCGAGCAATATTGAACGATGACGTCATGAGTTTCTCCTCCTGGTGTGTGCTCAACGACGTCCACGTGATCACCCTGATGCGGATGCGCTAGTTTCTGCTGCCCTGCGCGCTTATCGGTCTGTCTATGCTAGATCAAACTTCTTCCCCATGTCCGGTTTCTCCGCTCCTCCTCTCCTCTTTCGCCTTCTCCCCTTCCCCCTCTCCCCCGGGCCATCACCGTCCACGCCATGCGAAGCGACCCGCCCACGTATCCTGTCCTGTACCCCGCCCCCATGAACGTCACAAGACCACGTGGTTCGACGTGACGTGGCCATGACTCTGACGACACGAGACCAATGTTGCTTGACGCAGCCGAAGTTTCCGTTTCGGTATCAGCTGTAGCTTAAATTAAGATTAAACAAATAATATTCCACATTTCGCGAATCCGAAGACACAGAGCTGTTTAGTAGTGCTTTGTGAAATGGAATCACATGCAAGCCTAAATTTTTCGGAATTAAGCGGAGTTGCCCTTTAAAGGGATGGTGAACCGAAATTTGGATTTAAAAAAACCAATGCTGGGAGATGTAGGCGGGACGCTACAATCCCTACAACACTACTAGTATGGCGATATCTCAAATGGACGGCCGTATTTTGGGAAAAAGTCGAGATTGAACCAGGCCGACGAGGCGCGTGACGTCAAGACACCTAGTTTCCTCCTCTCTTCGCTTTGCTCCCTCAAGGCCGCGAAGCGGAGAAGACGCAAGGCCGTTCCCTCTCCTTCTCGGAGAAACACGACGTCAACATTCCTGCCAAATGCGCCTCTTTTTTTGAAAAATACGGTCATCCGTTCTAGATATCTCTGTATGAGTGATGTTTTGGTGTTTGTAGCATCCCGTTGCACGCTTTTGCCGAGTGTTTTGGGGAATCCAGATTTTGGTTCAGCATCCGTTTATGCTTTCGCAAGTGGTCACGGTGCAGTCAACGACGATCGGATGCAAATGTGTGTACCGGCCTTAGCCATCGCGAGCAGTTGTGGCGCAGTTAATTACGGTTGGACGCCGATGCGTGAACCGGCCCCAAGACCACCTGGTGCCCCCTTTCCCGGTGCAGTGCTGCTGCCGCCGTTCCCGGACCCGCTGTACGAGCAGCCGCCGTGGCCCCTGGGGACGGTAGGGAGATGAGGCCGCCTCCCGTGCCCCCACGGGGCCCCATGTGCACCAATGGCACCTATGCCTCGCACCTGCTCGCACCTTGCTCTTCTCCTTCCCCCTCTCTCTCCTCCAGGCCTCTTGCCCAGGTATTCCCTCCGGTGGCGGCTCTCTTGCCCCCTCCCCCACTGATCCCTATTGTGGTAGGCTGGGTTGCGGATTGGGAGCCCGTTGGTGGCACCACCGGAGTCTATCATTGACACCAGGCAATATGCGCAAGTCTGTGGGAGGAACACACAAAAGTAGGAATATTAAAGCTTGTACGCGGTGCTCGAAGGCAAGTACTTTATGATGTGCTGCGATCATTATATCGAGTGTTTGGAAATCGAATCAATATTTGTCAAGTGTTCAAATGCCCATTAAAAAATCAAACGTGCTAGAGCACTCACGGCTGAGCTGGCAAGCTTGCTCTCGTAGTGGAGTAATCAAAGGAGCTTTCTGTCATTCAGACTGTCCTCGGCAAAACCCAGAAGTTGATAAATGTAGAGAAAGTTCCATGTTGACAGCGGCTTTCCTGGAGCGAGTGAATTCCGCGTGTCAAAGCCTTCAAGCTTGTTGTCCGCTAAACTCAACTCATTGAAACCTCCACCGACTCTGCGGTAACTTTAGCAGGGTGTCTAGCGACTGGGGAAAACCGGGGATTGTCGGGGAAATTTTAGTTACTGGGGAAAATCGGGGAATTGTCAGGGATACTGTCAAAAAGCGAGCCCAGTCAGGGAAAATGAGCCGGAACTGCCATCGAGTGCTCTGAGCAAAGACTTGAGGACTTGGGGCAGAAAATTAGGCAATAAATTCTGCTTAGAGTGGAGCACGGACTCTGCTCACCCGATGTAAAGTGTGTTCTACCCGATGCAAAGGGAACAGACGACGAATCCACTTGGTGCCTTGGCTTGGCTTGGATTAGATTGAGGGCACAACACTAGGCTAGGTCCAGGCTAGAGCTACTAGATTTAGTAGCAAATAGAAAATCTGCAGACCCAAATTCAAGCCTTAAGCCGAAAGTATCCGAAAGTGTGCATCTCGGGGCCATGCTGCCTTACGGTTATGAATGTGTGTGGTTGAGCATCGTGTTTTCATTTTGTTTCCGGAAGTGGCCTCTTCACTGATGATGTCGGCGGCAAGAAAGTGCTCATTTAAGTCTGACTCGACGAACCCGAATATTTCTGAATATGCAAGTTGGATTAAGTCCGTGCAAAATTATTCTCACAATGCTCAATGCCTTGTGTTGTAAGGGTCTCGTGTATTTAACCACATCTACAGTGGTCAGGGAATTTCACCTGAAGTTGTCAGGGAAAACCTGGAAAAGTCAGGGAAAATAATGATTTGCTAGATACCCTGCTTTAGGTAACTCTCGTCTCATTGAGCTGCACTACATTTTTCGCCCAGCGAAACCACCCTCGACCACAAGACATTTAGTATTTATAAGGACTGCAAGGGCTGTCAGTTTAAATGTTTGTGCACAAGCTATTTGACATGACAAGCTTCCCTAAAAGCAGCCAAAAAGTTTCAGTGACGACAACAGCTTAGAAGGGGGCGAGACGGCACTTTTTCTCGTTTTTCCTATGGAGTTCCATTCATTAGCTGGTGTCAAATGATGGCTGCTGTTGGTGCCACTCGCAGCAAGACGATCCGTGATCGAGCCTAGCACAAGCATGCACGCTTCCGCGACGTTCTGGTATTGGTGCCTGGAACGCGTCTTTGACAGGTGCGCCTGCTGTCCTCTCTCAACCGTGCATCGAAAGCCGTCCCGAAGTGGCCACAAGCGACGTCGTGGGAGCCTGCATCCCATGTCGTCTCATGTCGCGATCCCGGCAGTTGGCCGTAGAAGTTCCGGTGAAGTGCACGAGGGAATGCAAGTGTCGCTGTCCTCACTGCGTCTCCAACTACTGGCTGCCGGAGCATCCGTGGACTGTCGGGCCGGACAGCGACCTGCAGCGAACAGGCGTTCGCCAGATTCACTGTTGCTGTTGCGACGCCGTTGGGATTGCGGTCGGCGACGGCACGACACTTCTACGACGTTGTTGGGCGGAAATCGAGGGACCACGTTTGAGGACACGGTCGACGCACCAATTGGAGACATGCTTGAGGCGTCGTAGCGACATTACAGGGCTTGGAGCACGTCGCTTCAAGCACGTCTCCAACTGGTGAATTGACCATGTCCTCAAACGTAGACACGGGTGGTTGACCGTGTCCACGTTTGAAGACACGGTCGGCACTTCAGTTGGAGATGGGCTTGAGGCGTTGTAGCGACGTTACAGGGCCTGGAGCACGTCTCCGACTAGTGCGTATACCATGTCCTCGAGCGTGGCCCCCCGGTTTCTGCTTGATGATGTCGTGGAAGTGTCGTGCATGCCGCGCACCTGGCGGCCTTGCGGCAATGGATAGGGATGCTGCAGACACCCGTTCCGGGGCTCGCTTTTGGCTCAACGGTTCGTGGAAGCCTCTGCAGTGACGAGTTGGGACGGCGTGACGTTGACGACACTTGCGTATGCCCCTCTCTTTCGTTGTAACTTCTACGACCGACCACCGGGATCGTGTCGTCCGATGGCACGACGCGTCAGCACCCGTAACATTGTTTGTTGGCACTTTGGGACTGCTTTCGACAAGCGGCTAAGCGCACTGCCCTGAGGTGCGTTCTGGGTGCCATTGCAAGGTCGCCACTCACAACTATACATCTGCCGAGGTTTATTGGGGAGTGGTTTTTGGCTGAACTTAGCATAAAACGTCTAGAGCTACAGGCAGGGTTTGTGGGAAGGTACAAGGGGCTTTGATCAGAGGAGTTGGTGCATCTATCCACGTCAACAGCAAAAAGTGTGGTGGTGGCATGTTGCCCAAGAGGGGGGTGGAGTTTGTTTATAAAAAAAAGAGAGAATAATTGCTTATTTACAATCATGAAGAGGTCAACCTCCACTAGCCAATGGGACAGGTGGTCATAGGAGGAGGAGGAGCAAATGAGGGGAAGACAATGATGAGAACTGAAAACAAATCATAGAGCAAACAAAAAGAAAAATCTGCCACTCTTTTAGCTTAAACTTCTTCTTGGGTGGAGACGTTGGCAGAGTGCTTAATGTTGAACAAGGCCTTATTTGGAGTTGAACTTCTGACATATGTATAGTAAAAGCATTTGAGATGTAACCTTGGCTGATACTCAGTGTTGTTTCACTAAGGGATGCATGATTTCTTGTGTAGTTGAGATATTCAGGTCCTTTTTTTGCATTGTTTGTTTTATATATAATATGGGGTCGTCGAGATAAATCCGGAAAATTCACCATATTCAGAAAAACGCACAGAGGCAACAATAAAATGAATATCGACCATTTTCTGTGCTTTGCTCGGTCTGCTGTGACGTCTTTCTGGCTGACAGATTATGGAACATCTTGGCAATGTTGTACACCTGTGTCTTGCTGTTGCCATACCATGCAATGATTCGGTTAGGTGACTTTCCGGCGCGAAGCGATTCAAGTATTGCTGCCTTCCGTTCGTATTCCCTTCTCATTTCTGAGCAAGTCATGAATGTCTTATCATGCTATGGTCCGCTGTCAAAATCACGTGTCCACAGAACTGCATTACGGCCGGTTAGCTTCGCTGTATAGTTGAGAGACAAAATCTGTTAAATGTCCGGATCTATCTCGACAACCCTGTAGAAGCAGGGTTCTGTGCAAATACCTTTAATTGTCAATGATTGGCTAAACATATTTTCATGACACTACAAAAATTAGGTGAAATAAAAATAAAAACAAACTTGGGTCGCAAAGCATATCCTATTGGAATGATGGTGTGGGAAAATTGTGAAAGTTGGCTAAAGCAATCATCATTAGAAAGGCAACTCTTGGTCTATATCGCAAAATTGCGGGTATTTATCAAGCAGCATAGCTCTTTTAGTTTGAATCAGTTTTGCATTATTGTGATCAACAAACAGATGTCAATGGTTTTTGATGAAATCCGGTAAAGTCTACCAAAAGTATTAACCTACTGTGAACTGCTAATTCCTAACCCCAGACTTTTTAAAATTTTTTATTGAGGGTTCAAGGAGAGGTCAAAATGACCAGAAAATTTTAATATAAGCATAGAGAAGAGTGTCACTGCCAGTACATACCATTCTGCTTATTTTACTACTCGTGTCATCTAGGGGTACTTCAAGAAAGCGTGGTCAAGAGTTTACAAAGCTGTTACTGTAAAAAGAAAAAGAACATGGTGGATTGCATACATCTTTTATTCATGCTTTAGCACATCGCACCCGCAAGCATTTTTAATTTGTGTTTGTACCAGGCAGCTAGTAAACAGCTTAATGTAAAAATAAAGCAGACTTACTAACCCCTTCTAGACATTTCAGTTTCTTCTGCATGCTTTCATTCATCCCTACTGTTTCACTGGTGGTTGGTTTACGTTACATGGCTCTATTAGCCACATCATCATTGCTCTCAACCTTCACAACAATTGTATTTTGCGGAAATCTTTTCTAAAACTAGTGTGACAGAATGTTTTGCTTTTCATAGACGTGTGCACTTCTTTTTGTCAGTGTTACGTCAGTGAAAAGAACCATAGGCTGTTTTCACTGACGTTATTTAGTCCGCTATTTTGTTGTTATGAGTGGTCTGGTGTGTGCCGAGGGCGAGCAATCCAAAAATTCACATGACCTCTCAAATTCGTAGAGCTCAGAAGCTACAAGGTCTCACCATGCTAACGTTTCCTCGAGGTTGCAACGTAATCCTTTAAATCAATAGATGTGTTTGAAATAAAAATGTAAAAAATTGACAACAAAATGCTTGTTGCTATGTCAAAATTTGACAAACAAATTTTGATATGAAGCTTTTCTTCTAATTCTGGCAGTGTGGATACATAAAAGATAATTATGAAAACTTGACCTCTTTGAGGTGCCTTTGTGATGCACCATGTATTTTTTTCTCTAATCCAGCGGTTCTCAAGTTTTTCTATCTCAAAGAACTCCTATCTCTCTTGATGTTCAACTCCCCATTCTTCCCCAGGAAAAATAGTTAGAAAAAAGGAGTGCAAGACCCTTAAAGGCCACTGAACTACCAAAAAGAAAAACATCTTTTAAGAATAGGACACGTGTCAAAAAATAAACTCACCCCCTTCCCCCTTTCCCCCTAAAAAAAAAGAAGAAAATTATTGGAATATTTATGTTGCAAGGTCATTTTGAGTGAGGAGCAATCCCGAAATATTCTTCTGTTTCAAGACATTCACCCTAAAATGAAAGCATGTTTCAGAATTGCTCAAATGAGCTTTGCAAGATAAATAGTGCAATAAAAATGTTTTTTTTTTTTTTTTTTGGAGATAGAGGTGGGGGGGATTTTATTTTGTGACATAAATGTTGTTTAGAGGCACTAAGAAGCAAACGTCTGTTGACTTCAGTATTCCCTCGAAGACACCTCATGGGCCCTAAACTTGTCAAACACAAAGTTGAAGCCAAAAGTTCGCAGAGCGCGCCTATTGGGTGCCGGCGAATAAAGCGCAAGGTCATCATCCAGATAAGCCAATCGGTGGACTCCGTCAACTTCGGCCCAAACTTTGTGTTTGACAAGTTTAGGGGCCCATGTGTACAGGAACTCATTCCGATGCCATGCTATGCAAACTCTGAGTGTTTGTCCTGGGTGCTAGTCGGCCAAACCCACGAGGTCGTTCCAGCTCGTAATCTTCGTAAGCTGCGGCCAGTGGCCCTCTAACGTGGGGAGGCGACCTTTCAGGAGCGTGCGAACAGCTCCTCGGCCAGCACCGTGGAGGAGCTGCACTGCTCCATGACCCTGTTGGAGCGCCTTATCCGCACGAGCAGCATCTGGTTTCTTCCCGACATCGGCCGCTCCGGAGCGGTCCACTACTTACAGGGGAAGGAAGTCGGGGTGAGCCCTCGTCCGCGCTTTAACCGGCCGTTTACAGAGAGTGCCAGAGCTCTGTTTGGTCATAAAAGATTGCCCGTTTCTTGCCGTCTCCTACAAAAAAGTCGCGCCATCAGCCGAGGCGCCGTACGCTTTGTTGCGAGTTTGAACATTAACACTGTTGAGACTGTTGTCACTGGTGGGGAGGACCTCCGGTTGTCTAGCATCAGGTGCGGGCTCCTACGTTTGATGGCACTATGACGTTTCGTGCACCTAGATCGCTCCCACGCAGCCGAAGCATTCGATAGACGCACCCTGCTGTTCCCATTCTGCCGGTGACCGTAGTTGTTTTGTCTCTGTCTCCCTCGCAATAAGAATAACATAATGGCACAAAAAGGGCACACGTCTTGCTACAGTTCTTCTCAATACTTCTTTGTTCTCACGCTGGCCTATTCATTGCTGAAACGTCTTTCTTTGTGTAAAAGGCATTCGATTGTGAGCGAGCGCATTGTGCCTTCTTGTAACCGCTTGTGCCCGAGTCCCACTTGAGCTACCGATAGAAACAACTGCGCGAATGCTGTTAAAATTTTGGTCTAGCTATATGCGGACCAGAAGTACTTCCAGGGCTACTTGATAGATGGTGCCAGTGCACTAGCGCATTATCTCGTCACGCGCGGTCACGCTGCAGTTGTTTACGCCCGAACACAAATCTGAACCGGCGTTCGAGCTCGTACATGCACGCTTTTAGCTGAGTGGGCGCTTACTTTACTCGACAGAACTTCATAGTGCGCCAGTCGAGCAAGAAAGGCACGCTGGCGCTCTCGGTCAGACTTCCCCTGGAGGTTGGACCGTACATTGAGCACTACCTGATCGAGGCGACCCCCGAGGGAAAGCATCGGCTGGAGGGCTCTGACAACCACTTTGCCTCGGTACCCGTCCTCATCTGCCACTACTGCCAGTGCTGGTGAGTTTGCTTCGCTGTTGTGCCGGACTCTGCTATTGTTTGTTGCCCCTGGAGGACCTTTCTGAGTGCGAGACATTTTGGTTTGGTTGGAACACTGCACTATTTGAAATGTTCTCACCTGGTGCAAAAGATGACCGATTGAACTACTTGAGGTAACAATCACATAGTCATTCTACGGGAGGCTCAGGTAAAAGTCAACCTTGTATGCTTCGGGATCAGCCATAGCTTTGTTTTCGCGAAGCAAACCTGCACACATATGGATGCTTGCAGTTATTAAGTGGTACATTCTTTATGCATCATAAACAGCGGTACTTGATCATTGTAAGCGTGATGCGAACTGCAAGCCAGGCAAGTTGCTTTGCTCTGCTAAGAGAAAATAATGAAGGGTATAACTGCTCATTCACACTGGAAGCAGATCCGCGTTCGCAAAGCGTTTGCGAACGCGGTTCTATAAAGATCCAGTGCAATTGCACGCACACTCGATGGCATCAAGTGCGCATGCAATTGTACCGGATCTTTATACAACCGCGTTCGCAACCGCTTTGCGAATACGGATCCACTTCCAGTCTGAATGAGCGGTAAGGGAGGAGGGCAAGCATCCAGACACCTACCTTTGTGTGCTTTATTTGTTATTTCTAGCAGTGTCTTCTTAGCATGCATAGCATTGCAATCTGTGATGCCTTTCTATGCACAAGCATTATAGTTTGTTTCTTTTTATGTGCAAGCAAAGCTGAAGTGCGAGCATGTTGCTCCGAATGGTGCTTGCGCTGCACGCACGCTTGGCAGGGACGTTGAAAGCCTGGAGCTTGCTCTTGCAGCTTCTATTACGCTCGCACAAAAAAGGGAAATGGAATGATGTTGGGGCCCGATTTCGTTTTACCGATCGGGGCTCTTGCTCTCTTTTCCAGTGATGAGCTGCCTGTCCGTCTTGGTCTGCCATCGGTCCTGATGCAGCCATCCACACGTCAGGAGCTGTCGGCTTTCTCCCTCTTAGGACAAGGTGGGTGTCTCTTGGTTCTTTGATGTAGACCATATATAGACCATTCCAATAATTGACTTTTTGTGCACTACTGTCGTTGTCCACTGGGCTATGGAACCTGTTCTGAGCTTGTGCAGCAGCTTGCTCCTGCGGAATATCGGGCGCCTGCATGCGTCCACAGGCCATCGCTTTTTTATTGGGTGGTAAGTGCTGGGGTGGTGTGTAGTACATGCCATTTGCTAGGTCTGTCCATGAAGGTTCTCTTTAAACTTGCCAGGTCAAATGTGTTGCATTACTGCAAGTATGACTATTCATTGGGTGAATTACACTACTTCTAGAGTAGAGTGTGCGTGCGCTTCTATATTTCTCGGCTTTTTTTGTAGTTACACTGTCAGTGGGCCAATACGCATTAGACCTATTAAATGCCACATCTGCTGCCCTTTGTTCCACGAAATGGGAGCTTTTCTTGAGGGAGATGCCGTTCATGAAATAAGCGATAGTCACTTTGTAAGTGGAGTTATTAAAGGGATACTTCAACGAAATTTTAAATATTCCCGTCGTGTTCAAAAATAGGTTGAATATGATCCACAATATCCGTAAATGACAATCGCACATTTGTATTTGAGCCTGTTGGCTGTATTTCTCGTTATAAACGGCTCACTCTGGCAAGCGCTCGGAGAAGGCCCAGCGGAGACCACGTGCCATCCAACGCAATCATGACGTAGGTTGTCTCGGGACGAGCAAAGCTACGGCGAGGCTGACGTCGAGAGGATGGCCTAGTCGTTCCAGCCACCGAAGTGGCCGCTTTTGTGCGAATTTTGAGTGACTGGTTAATCTTCTATAATCTTGTAGGGGGACAATAGCGACTTCTGCGACACACAAAAGGCAATCTCGGGAAGAGGGGAGTTCCTCCTGCCCCTCTTCTCTTGTCGTGACCGGAGGCGAGACACTCACCGTCACTAGCTGTCAAGGTTCCTAGACAGGCATTACAAGCGAGGCATTAGCGACATCCACCAGGTGCTCCTTGTGAATTGTTTAATTCGTTTTACAATTCCTTTTCGAGACTTTTTTAACAAGATATTGATATGTTCGATGTGATACTGCTCCTTTGAACACATATAGACCAAAAAATTAGCGTCGAAATTTCGTTGTAGTATCCCTTTAACCCTGGATGTGAGTATCGACTCAATGCCATGTGGAGGGTTATGAATTTTTCAAAAAACCTTTGCCTTCCGCTTCTGTCTGCATATGGAGATCATTGGAAGAGAGGATTCTCATATTTCCACGCTTTATCTATTTTATGCGCTAATCGTGAAAAATGAAAATTGACAAAAAGTGAAACAAATTTAGTTCTTTCTGCTTGGAGCTTCAAAGTCAAGTTCATATTTTTATTGGTGTTCAGTTTTGAAATACACATTTATTTACTATGCCTCCTGAAAAGGGATACTGAATCGAAACTTAAGGTGTACCCTTTCACGTTCGGATTTAAGTTAAAGATCATCGACTCCTTGTGCTAATGATAATCGCACGCTCGTCTTTCAAACGGATGGCTGCCTTTTTTGTTCTGAACGTACGATTCTGGCGAGCACTTCAGAATCGGTCATCAAGGAGCGCGTTACGTCTCGGGATATCCATCGCGCCCGCTACTTGCCTGCGACCTCGTCGGCCTCCCCAGGGCCAAGCGTACCGAAGTTACGAGCATCGACGCTGTGCACGGGTTACTACCTCGCTTCTTAGTGTATCCAAATGCTGTAACATATCACCGGGAGATTGCAGAGCTGGAAGAGTGGCGGAATCATGCGCAGTTTGACAACACCACGACCGACCACCTCTCCGAAAGCGTGCCGTTCCGGTGTGCACTTTTCGGAGAACACGCTCGGAAAAACTCCTGGGTTCAACCGATAGTACTTGTTCGGTCAATTCACACTCTGCAGCACACTGGGGCTTGTGACAAACACCCTATCGTCCCAAAAGTGCTTGCCGCATGGTCAATCACTGTCCGCAGGAGCCCGGGTGGGAAAAAACGGGCACGCGAGACCCCGTGTACCAGTGTCTCACAGTTCACAAGTCCGTCTTCACAGCCTTCTGCAATGTAGTGTTTCGGCATCCCCCCCATAGACTCATTGAGAGAGCCCACCGAAAACTGTTTCGAAGGTAACGATACCTCGGCAAACGCACGTGGAATAGCAGGACCATAGGACTGACGAGACAATGGAAGAATTAATGCCAGCGGTAGTTGAAAAGTAATGCGTCGTCTTCTACACGACACAACTGATGTGGCGATGTCGGGAACGCCCATTTCGGGCAGGAGCTCGCCAGTTTTTGAACCGCGCGAAGTGGCTGAGGTACCTACCTCTGTCATTTTGCACGAGGCGATATGCTAGGATATTTCTCACCTCATGTTGCCGTAGTTGACTGCAGCACACCTTCATGTGTGACGTTTGTAGGACGAAGCAGTTTTTGCTCACCGAATTTTATTGTCTGACTGATCACAACAACCAGACTCGGCGAGGGCGTCAGCTTTGCGGATAAACAAATATTGTTTTGAAGGCACCATACCAATAGGCATCTTCCATTTATCAAAGCGAGCAGGGAAGCAGGCGGTGTCCGGTGAAGTGCGGCGGTGGTATCGCTCAAGTATTTCACGCAGCATATCGCATCAATAGTGATGTGATCGCAGCATTGTCACGCCGCCGCCAAGAAATGAGCACATTACAACGATTTTGCGAGATTCCTTGTCAAAGGGCAAACGCTAATAAACGAACGAAAGGAAGGCATTGGCGTAGAGGAAGCTTACATTGTTCTCGACGGGCGATGCTTGTGCGATTGACCAAGGGGGGGGGCACAAAGAACACGACTGTATGATTCTCATATCGTCACACAAAAACTACCACAAAAAAAATGCATTGCCACAATCTTGCTTTGTGACTTGTCTCAGTGGTGAACACTAAACGACTGAAGCACCGCTTAGTTAATCTAGTCGAGCGGGGCTTCTGGGATCAGTTGGATAGCAAGACAATCTCTGAATTCTCACATCATAGCACAGCAACTGCCGCGCACAAAAGGAGATACCAGCTCAGCTCTGCGACATAAACTGTCATTCTGAGAGGTCGGCGTAATGCGTGGAAGTGATTGGGCTGGTGGAGTGAATCCAAGGTGGCCAACTGTGCTTTGGCTTTCTTTACCAAACCTTCGGTATCACTACGTTCTGGCCTAGGTAATTTGTACTAGTAAGTGTACTTCCGATAGAGTGGCACTGCTGTCGGGAGACGCATTGCCGTCACGACATCCTATCGAAGCCTTATCACCAAAATCCAGGCGGTTTTGGTTATCGTTTAGTTTAGTTTAAAATATGTTTTTCTTGCATTTTCCAGCTAAATATTGATGTTTCTGAGGTTCTACTGCTACCTACGTCACTTTGAAGCCAAGGAACGAGCTCCAGAATTAGGTTTCCGTATCCCTTTGAGGTACATGGCATACTATGCGCCAAGAAACTGGGGGAGAGGAGGAGACGAGAGTGCAGGGGGGCGTCAGAACGCCAATTTCTGGTTGCAATAATTATTGGAAAGACCTAAAGCTAGGCTTCGAGACAATTCTGAGCCAAACGTTGACGCACTCGTCGTGTCCAATTTGCGCCCAGCGTTGGTTCGCCTTCGCCGATGACGCCATCTCATTCAGCACTACGGCTTTGTTGGCTGCCTTTGTCTTCACTGAAAGCCAAACACCGTCCGGTGTCTTGCTTTCACATTAGAACGCATTCGACAAGCGCAGTGGAGACAAGGTAGCTGGCTTTAGGTCTACTCACTAATCACTCCAACCGGAGCTTGGCCTTTTGACGTCCTCATGCGCTCTTGTCCCCTCCTCTCCCCGAGTTTCTCGGCGCATAGTATGGGTCAATGAACACACAAAAAGTACAGTACTCGCAAAACTTGTACGGTATGGGCAAACTGTTTTATCTCGAAAAAGAGTTCTCTCCTGGCGGCAACTTAACAATGGCTTCATAATGCAGCCCTGTGGGCTATTCCTTTGAGTGCTAGGTGATGGAGCCATTGTTTGGCTACTGCCAGGATGGCAAATAGATGGAGCCTCTTGCGTATGCCATGTGTGAATGCTCATGTATGCTATGTTTAATTGCCCACTCCTGTTTTGGCCTTCATTGAACCTGCAGTATATACAGTAAAACCTCGTTATAACAAAGTTGAAGGAGCGGTCGTAATTATTTCGTTATAACCATTAGTTTGTTATAGCCAATGTCCATTTCTTCCCACTATTAGCAAGCAAGGGGAATTATGATTGCTTTGTTATATCCATTAGTTTGTTATATCCCGTTTTGTTATAACGAGGTTTTACTGTAGAACCAAAATAATAAACAAGAAAGGATACAGTTTGCATGTTTGTTCTGTGTAGGTTTGGTAAGTGCAGTACATGGCAAATAAATCAGTAAGAGAGCCAACACTAAAAGCTTCTTAAATTAAAAAAAAAAACAAATTTCTATGCCTTTTCTGACATTAACTTTTTTGCAGAGTTGTGGGTGTCCAGCCTGCTACGGTCCAACCCGTCCACTCTCGGATCCACCGGGTCCTCTACCGCGACCAATCCGCTCACGGACCACAATGCCAACGTCAAATCATCCGCCCCAAAACCGACCGCAGCTACGCCCGTCTCGACCCCCGTGACTTCTCCCACGACCTCTGAACCTCCGGTGGTCCACGCCTCCATAGCCGTCCGGCCGAGCTTCCTCCCGCTCCAGAACTGCACAAACAGTGGCATCAAGCCAGTCCCCCTACCGCGGGCTGTTCACCTGCCTGTTCACCAGCCCATTCACCAGCCGTTTCAGCAGCCTGTTCACCAGCCCTTTCAGCCACCTGTCCACCAGCCCATTCAGCGAGCCGTTGTTCCGCCGAGTCCATCCTCAATCTCTGAAGTCGCCGGCAGATCAGCGTTCTATGTCGGTGTCGACACAGACCGCCATTCAGCGTCGCCGGACACCAAAGAGGTGCCGCGCTGTCTCGCAAACGACAAGGAGACTAAGCAGCTTCCGCGGTGCCTGGTGAGGGAGAAGAAGCCCTCGGTGAGGCGGCGGCGAGTGAGCATCGCCGAGTCGTCTCCAGAGGCGTACTACTGCAGCAGCCTTGCCGACAAGATCAGCGACTACGAGGACATCTGGGGCAATGCGAACGGAAAGGGTTCTGACACGCCGGGGCATCTATCCACCTTCAAGCCGAACCTCGACAAGTCTTCCCCGGAGACGAACGGCGAGCTGTCGCGGCTCTCGGGCAAGGGCTGGAGCGAAGCGATTCAGCAGAGGTTCGTCTGCCAGTCGACCCAGACCGAAGTCCACGGCGGATCCCTGCCCGGTGGACTCGGGCAGACGGGAGGAGACGCCACTCCGCCACCGAGTCCGCTCCTCTCCCGATCTATGCCGGGCATTGCGAACGCAGACGGCGAAGAGCAGAACGGTGTCGCGAAGGCATCCGGTGGACACTTCTCGAGCCCGTTCTACGCAGAACCCGTGGACTCCTTGTTCCCAGGGCTTCCGCTGAACGGAGACCCGTTGCGGATCGACGAGGACTCGCTGCATCTGGAGCCGAGACCCGTGCCAATGAGGCACTCGGAGCCCAACGTGTACACGCTGCAACAGCGCTGTTCCGATCTCACGTCCACCTTCGATGAGACGACCTCGTGCAGCACAGACCGTCCGATCGGCGCATCCACACCGGCGCTGTGTCGCGGGTCTGCTGAAGGCCGGAGCGGCCGCTCATGGTCGGTCGATCCGTCGTGGAAGTGGCTCGGCTCGAGCGACGACGAAGACGACGAGGACTCGGCGAGCATGGCGGCGGTCGGAGAGTTGGACCCCAAGTTTCCGGCAGAAGAGACGGATGACTCGGACACCGGGTTTGCTGGTCACGATCCACCGACGGTGGAGGACCTGATCGCACTCGCGTCTCCGGACTTGAGAGTGCCTCGCGTGCATCCCCTGACGGAAGGGAACGTGTTGAGGGCATCGAAGTACGACAATCTAAACAACGTCGACGCGGCGTCGCTTCCGCGGAGCGAAGGTTTTACGGCGACGGCGGGTGGAAGTCGGCGTACCACGGGCTGTGGAGGGGGTGAGGAGGATGCACTGACCGAGTTCTGCGAGCCTTGGGACTCATTGCGGTGGGAGAGGCTGCTCAGGCTCGTAGACCCGGCGAGGAAGAGCGGGCGGCAGGCAGCGTCAGACTGGAGCCGCATGAGCGATGCACCCAAGTCGAAGGTCAGTGGAGATTGCAATACATCTGTTGTTAGCCCCCTCTTTTTTTTTTTTTTTTTAATATTGTTTGGTTGGAGCCATTAGATTGCTGCGCTCAGAGTGCCGGCACCAATTTTCCTCGTCGTCCAATGTCATGGGCATCACCATTTTGGTGCTTAGAGCCACACGACCGGTGTTTGTGGCAGTTATCATTCTTGAATTAAATTTTTTAAAGCTACGTACGGCGTTGGAAAAAAGTCGCTGCGTCATTATGCTTTGTTGCAAACTGTTTTGGCAAGCAGGACAATGCAAAGCACTTGCTTCTCCTGTCAGGCACATTGGCAAAAGCTTGTGACAAGTAATGACACTTTCTTTGCACCACTATGACTGAAGGGTCGTTACTCTAAAGCGTAGCCTATTTAGTGACTTTAATCTTGATAAGATGGCAGGTTTGAGCCGACTTCATTGGTTAGAGGGCTGAAGAAGAACTGACCTTTTTGTTGTCTTGTCTGGTAAATTAAGTGTGCTTTAAAACTGTGAGTAGCCTGCTGCCCAACTTAATCATTTTGGAGGCTGGCAAACTGTTCATTTTACTTCTCTGGAGTAATCAATGATGCAATTGAACCCATACAGGAGTGATTCTGCATGAAATGTGCCGTCTAAGTTTGCTAGCAATACTGCATGAAATGAGCTAACTCGATTTGGGGGTTTATCGAAGTACTGCTGCCTAGTTTGACGCACATTTAAGCTTTATCACAGGAGTAGCCAAACTGCAGCTCATAACTCCCCCCCCCCCCCCCCCCCCCCCCCCCCCCCCCCCCCGCCACCCTCCGGGACACACGAGCACTTCCCCCGAAAGAGAAATGGAGTGCGTTTTAAATCGAAACGTACAGTAGCAGTAATCTTGTGCTACTGCTACCGTTTGTACAATTGGACTGCTTTTGACTTGGATAGATTGAAAGTACTTCAAGTTTTGTTTATTACTCTGGAGTCTAAACGAATTTGCCCCCCCCCCCCATGCGGCTCTTTGAAGTTTCGTGGTTTTGTTTGTGGCTCTGAGCCCGGGTCAGCCTAGCCACTGCTGCTCTATCACATAGTTTGTAGCTGTTGCACAGGCACTCGTTAAATTTAGGTTTTCTTTAGTCACATCAGCAGGTGGTAGCATGCCATAAGGCACCGTTGGTGGCTGTGTACGGACTTTAGAGAGCTCTTAGTAATCTGGTTGTATGTGACATCATATACAGGGACAGTGAAAATATGGCTGATTCTTGAAGCTTCAAATTTTGTTACGTTTGACCCGAAGAAAATACTCCTGTGAATTTAAACATTTATCAGTACGGTCAATAACACTACAGAATTATAACCGGGGATGTCTGCATGCACATTCCAGGTTATATACTAACCAAGCTTTAATTTATGAAGAAAATTTTTTACTCCATAAAATCAGCCTGATTGGGCCTGTGGTACTCCTTATGTTAGTGGGAGAGAAGGGAAACACATGCATAATAAGTTTTGTTGTGCAGTCCCTGGCACTGAGACTGACTGCGACATAACATGATACCACTCTGCCTTTCTTTCTTTGTTCCTCAAATTCCCAGCAGGTTTGATTTCAAGTAGTTTCCACATGCCTTATTTTATAAAAGAATGGTCTAAAGATTTTTTTAAACATCTGGTAGCTTTGTGTGCCCCTAGGGAAAAAGAGAACTTCTTTTCCTAGAGACTCGGCATCTCTACACTTCGATTCAGCTTAGCTCCGAGCGTGGACAAAGCTATGTGTGGCCGGGGCCAATGAAATTCAAGCGATAGGACGTGACCTCACCTGCACTTCGTATATCAGTCCGCGCGAAGTCTGCGCAGAAATGCAGAGGAGTCAAAGAGAGACATTTCGTCTGCTACGGGAGTATTGACGGCATCGTCTGCTACATAATTAAGAAGCCATTTTGCGTCCTGAAATAAAACCCGGGTTCGGTTCGGTGACTGCTGGGCTTCACAGAGGACCGTCGCACTGCCGGCAGAGGAAGGCCGGGGCTTGAACACGGATGTTGGCAACGTTGGGTGCCCAGACGGGTGTTCCTCTTTGCTGTGGTGCGATGCTCACAGAAACAGTGGGTTGATTGAGCTCTCTGGGTAGACTGCTGCTCTGTCTCCGATTTCAATCAAAGAAAGTGCGCTGTCTCTGCAAATGCGTGCCAGCAACAACCGCGTCCCTTCGTTTGCACTGGAGTATGTGTTTTCTTGGCGCTCCACCGACACCGTATGGTTTTGCCTCTGAGCGCTGCCTTGACTCCTGATTTTGACCTGTTTTTCATCTGAGAGCGTTTCCCGCCGTCGGCGGATCAACTTTTCGTTGATTTCCCAATGCATGTTAGCTCCGATGCTCGTTGAACAAGTTTGTGGTATGGCGCACGGTTTGAGGCTCCTGAGGAATTGGAGTACAGATTCATCACGTTCTTGCGCCTGACGCCCAAACATGCTTTTCTTATCTTGCATAGTTGGTGGAAATCAGGAAAAAAAAAAAACCAAAGGATGTCCAGCAACTTGGCAAGGAAAGTGTCAAACTTGAAGCCCACAATTCAATTGTTGAGAACACGAAATCACGTGGAAAAAATGTGTGGTAGTGGCATCAGTGTTGCCAGCTGGTAGGCATTTTTCGTCGAAGCATGTTCATTACCATACTATGAAAAACCTAGAATGTCTTTTTTTTTTTTTTTATAATTAGTTTTTAACAGAACACATCTAGAAAATTGTGCAATGTTTGCACACAAAGTATTTTTAAAATTGTACTTTGGCAAACTACTTAATGATGCGTACAAATGCTTTTTTCCTAGTGGTGAACCGTCTCCCAGCCTTCAGCTGCGCTCGGAGCTAAGCTGAAACAAAGTATAGTCAGGGAAGAACTCGTCTTCCTAGATGCATTGTGCCCTTAGACAAAGTTGAGCTTCTTTTTCCAGTGACGAAAGGTACATTTAAAAGTGTCTTTTGTGTTTGGCCGGGTGTCTTTGGCCATAATGCGAAATTCAATTCGGTTCAGTTCAAGGCACAGACCGAGGGAGCTAATTTTTTTAATATTTATATTTTCCGTTGAATTTCTCCAGGTTGAAGACTCGCGGATGTCCACGGACTCGGTGGAGACAGCTGCCTCAGTCACGAGCGAGGATGGGGCCAGTGACGTGCTGCTCGCGGAATGCCCAACGCTGGCCGTGGGCGGGAACCGGTCAAGCGGCTTCCAGGAGTGCCTCAGGATGCTGCTCGGTGCGTTGGGGGACACGGCCAGTTGGACTTTGAACTTTGTTACATCAGATTTGTGCCAAGGACACCGGACAAAAAGCTTTCAATAGAAAGCTTCTAGGTTTGGTGTTCGTGCACGCATGGAACACGATAGTTTGGGAGGCGGGCTTTTTTTTAACTCCTTGCCTATTCATTTATTTCTTCGATGAGCGTACAGCAAATTTTTATTTTAAACAGGCAATTCGCATCAAAAGTAGACGCAGACATTTCTTCAATTTTCATGTGTTGTACCTTGCTCTAAATTGAGGCCGGCTTTCTAGAACAGCGTCTCAGCTGAGAGTGGGTGAAAGAAAGCACTGCAAAGGCTGGTGTGTGCGAGCATCTTGAGACGTGGTTTGGGTCCCGCTCAGCTCAAGTGCTGGCTTTGGCAGTACCTTCTCTCACCCAGTCTCAGCTGAGACTGTTTCAAGCGAGCTGGCCCAGTACTTCTGGTCTGAGCCCCACTGACGTGCAGATGCTCAAGTTGATGGAACGCTTGCAGGATTCGCATAGTTTTCATAACTTCTGTCACTGCCTATCAAACTATCGTCGGATTCTTAAAAAATAAAAAAAAACTGAAGGATTCATTGTCACATATGCTGGAGCATTAATTCCTTTCAAAAAGGAGGTCTTGTATCTCTTTGTCAGCTAAAGTGGACCTCCACGCCAAAGCCACATTGTTTTAGCATGAACGCTCACAAGCGTCTGCTTTTTTTTTTCTTGGCTAAATGGAGCCTTTTCTCTCTGTCAAACAGCAAAACAAGCGAGCAAATAACCCAAGGTAAATGGAGCAACAGGGGTGGTTTTGCTATTTGCCAGAGAGTGCACTAAACAAGTGCCAATACCAAAACGCTGGTCACACTTGTGTGAAGCAAGAGTCCACACTTGTGGTCAAGCTTTATGGTCCGAAAGGAGTGGCACAAGTGATACCTGGTAGTAGTAGGCAAGGGGCTAAGAGAGCACATAATTAGACCTAATTTCTGATTTAACTGAAAAGCACCAAAGACGTCTGCTGGTGCCAAAATACCAAATTTGCCAAACCGAAAAAACAGATTTTTGGGAAGTTTTTTTTTTTTTCAAGCGAAGACTTTTTCTTTTCTTCTTGGACATCCATCAGGCTTACACTATTAGCTGGAAAAAAGCACCCTGCCAGTCCTAAATCAGTGGAATTACTGACGTTGAGGGAGTTGGGTCAGTTAGTTGGTCACTCTGGATTGCCGCAATGTCTTTGTTCTTTACAGGTCAGCTGGATGACAGTGTTCAAAAATACATTGGAGGTTGTGATTAATTGAGTCTTGCAAAAGAAGCAAAAGTAACACGCCTTGCTCGTTGCGAAAAATTTTGCCCGAGAGCAATTAAACTTCTACGTTGTATGGAGCAGAAGGGAATCGGGATACAAAGAAGACAAAACACTTCTGATTATTACGTTAAGGAGTACGTCGGTATGTTTTCGGACTGGCTGTTCATGGTTTGGAAACACCGTCACACTACGGTAAGCGTGAATCATTATAAGGATGTACACAAATTGTAAGTTAAACTTTAAGCTTTCGTTTTTTTATGTTTTATTCTTCACCAGAAAATGTCTTTTTTATTGTCCATACGAGCCAAAATGCACCTATTTTTGAAAAATAAACACAGAAAAATATATCCTGATTTTTCTTGTAAATGAAGACCGGAAAATCTGCGACCCTGAATACGCCATGCAGAGCGAAGGAGCTTGCCCCCCTTTTACCTTATTTACTAATATTTGGACTTTTTTTTCCCCTCGCGTAATGAACGCACTTCTAATGTCGGCTCCGCGAGTCTTAAACTGCGTCCAACTTAGCCACAAAGCCAATTTTCTTCTGCCTCAAAGTGGTCAGGTCAGGCCAAGCCAAGTCGCTCTCGTAATGGCTGCAAGTGCGTAGTTGCGTAAGTGATCAACTGTGAAACCGAGCGGCGCTTGACGAAGCTTGGGTCAAAGAATTGCCCAGCTCCGGACATTCTCTGCTTATCGGATGCATTGGTGTCAACAAATACACCTTTGTCTGTGGCCCGCTTTCGGACAGGGATATCGTGGAAGTGGTTTGGCCTAAGAACGGTCGCGTTGCTCTCCATGTTGAATGAGCTTCGTAGGGCGCCTTTCCTTTGCAAACGCCCTATAAAGGTTCGCAATTTATGAAGCATGGTTACTGTGGCGCACCCACGGCCAGCCATGGGTGCATCTCCGTCAGTGGAGACGTGCCGCAGTACCTTGTCATGTCATATTGGCACCTAATATGACATTTGCACGAAGTCTGTCAATTTTTCGGGAACAAAAGTGTGTTCATTATGCGAGTAAATACAGTATATGTAAATTGCGCGAGACAGCTCACCCGAACAGCATTGACTCTTTTTTGTGGTTTACTCATTGAGGGTAGGGATGAACACTAAATGTTACTGCCTTACCTGATACTCCTGTCGAGCCCTTCCACCACACCAGTAGTTTTTGTGACATCCTTTAAGTTTTGGGGAGAAATGCCATAGCGAGTGGGAAGGCATCAGCATAAATAATTCTAGACTGGTCAGCATTTCACAGTGTTGAATATTAAAGAGACACTAACACCCCCCAAATTGTTTTTTTTTTTTTTTTTTAATTTTTTGCTAGGCAATATATTAATTATGGTGCTTGAGGACTACCCAAACATTATTTTGCTACATCGTCACATATATTTTTAATAAAGTCAAAATATGCAACTACTTGAAACCGAAACTGAACTGGAGAGGAAGAAGAAATATAGAGGAGGAAAGAATTATCAAAAGTGACGGGCTGTGCAAAATGTTTTTGTTTTCAATCAGCGTATTTGCATTTTTTTAGAAGCTGCCAAAAATAAAGTATCATATTGTCTGTCTATTTTTAGTATTGAGTGTATGCCTTCGATGACCCATGGCTTCGGTTATCTTTGGTGGTTGTGTCAAAACCATCGAAAGCGGCACATGACCACAGGAGAGAGTGAGTGCAGCTCAAACCGGCCAATTCTCAGTCAGCGGTTTTCGGGTAGAAAGAAACCGAATTTCAAGCTGCAAATTGTGTTCTGGGTAGTTGGGCTCTCGTTTGTCATATACAAATAAAAACCTTGGCCGCCATAAATAGCCTGTCAGTGTCACTTTAAAGGGGTTCATGAAACGATTTTTCAACTTTTTCCTGTTTAGCTTCCTTCCTCAACTCACAAATTGCGCACCAAACAGTGCAAGAAGACGGAAAGGAGGGAGTTCCCTCTTGCTCGGACTCTCGTTTGTGTACCCGGACACCGCCATTCTCCTCCTAGAGGATCAGCCCGTCGTTCAAAACTCGAACAAAAGTTGCTTTCCCCACCCTGTTTGCACCGAAGCTGATAGTGCTGTAGAAGCTACGTTCTCGTTAGACCTGCCACACTTTTGCCACGTGATCACGCTTGCTCGCACATACCCACGTGCAGAGAATGAGGTCGGGTGATGAAAGCGAGGTGGCTGATAGGTCCGGCAAGCGCATAACTTCCAACGCACTGTCAGCTTAAAAGTGAAGGCGATAAGTGAGGTCCGGTCTCATGTGATGTGCGTTGCTGGGTGATGCGCTTTGGGTACTGCGGATGTATCGCAGTGAAAAGGCAGAGAGCTTTCGAAGGGAAGGACGTACGAAATATTCCGCTTTGTTTTCAAATTTTCGTACTGGAAGTCGGGCTTTTGACTCTATACCTTTTTTTTTTTTTTGGCCCATTAAACATCATGCTATTAGTAAAACCCTAATCTAAATTCATTTATCTCAGCCCAAAATTTGTTTCATGGTCCCTTTAACAGTGAAACTTGCTCGTGCATTGACTACCATTTGTTAATGCGTGTCATTTAATTTACTCAACCTAATTTCAGAGATTTTGCTTTAAAGGCCAACATACAACCTCGGTCTTCTACATGGAAGATGGTCCCCTTAGCGACCTTCTCTCTTAAGCTGGGAAGGATAGCCGTATTAGGGGAAGTTGAAAGGTTGAGAGGATAGGGGAAAGGAGGGAGTGAGAAGTGGAAAGCGCAAAGTGTACTTCAGCATTTAAGAAGCTTTCTTTCTTAGAACTTTGACTAATACTTGTTTGAGGAAATTTGACTGTGTTGTCACATATAGCTCGGATTGATGTCGGCGCTTTTCTTTTTCCAGCGTCAAGACGCATCGGTGGGCATTGCAAGAAAGATTCCACAGTTGGTGTCAACGTCAGGAGTTACATCTTCAAGTGCGTTCCCAGATTTTTATGAGCACTCTGCGCAAATATATTGATTGTCCCTAATTATGGTCCCTAACGTGTGGCTTGGTCCCCCCTTTTTAAATACTTTGTTCTATTTGATGCATTTCTGTAGAATGCCCCCTGAAGTCACTAGGTCCGTTCATTTCGGCCAGAAAGTTCTGAACTAGCTCTGTCCGTGAAAACCAGAAGTGAAACCTGAAGCGCAGGGTGTTGTCTGCATCTGATGGCTCTTGTTTGTGCATGCCATTCTGTATGCTACATTTAATTCTAAGCAGTTTGATGAGACCATTTGCCTTTCCTTAGTTTTAAAGTATATAATCGAAATCTTTTCTGTGAATGTTTCTTTATTCGAGCGTACTAAAACGCTTTCTGCACAAAATGAGATTCTGTCTGCAGTTTTAATGGCCATCCGCTTATCGTTTCCATAAGCGTTTGTATCCTTCACATCCATTTAGCAATAGTAGATCCATTCCAAGTCTCTCAAGTTCCATATTGCAACGAAAGGTTTGTGGTATCGAGATCTCTTCTGTGATTGTTTCTTTATTCGAGCGTACTAAAAACGCTTTCTGCACAAAATGAGTTTCTGTCTGCAGTTTTAATGGCCATCCGCTTATCATTTCCATAAGCGTTTGTATCCTTCACATCCATTTAGTAATAGTAGATCCATTCCAAGTCTCTCGAGTTCCGCATTGCAACGAAAGGTTTGCGGCATCGAGATGATTTCGCGTCAGGAGTTACTGGCGGCAGCGCGCAGTAGCGGTCCATTCGAAAGCCTGACAAAAGTCTTGGCCAAAACAGTTACCAATCAACACTTTGGCGTCAAGTTGAAGTGTTTCTTCTGATACTCAAGAAACATACGCGTGGAACTGCCAAGCCAATGCCGATTCTCTGCGTTTTTTTCCCAGGCCCTTTAGTGGGCAGCCAGAAACACCAGCAGACAAAGCATGCAGTACAGTATAGACCACTTAAACGTAATCGCTTATAGTGCGGGACCGGGTATAACACGGCTTTTTTAAACCACCGGTTCGCCTCCTATAGAACTCTATGTATTTACATACCGCTTAAAATGCAGGCGCGCAAAGGGAAATATCGGTTATAGTGCGGTTTCTCGAACAGCCCGGCGGTTGTGCCGACTGACCGACGCAGCGAGCATGCTTCCCTGTGCAGCGCTAGATAACGGCGCGAGCCGCAAGCAGCACCCGCAGGGCAAGGAGGATGTTCGAAGAAGCGGGAAGAAGCGAAGAGAGACGCTTCAGTTGCCATAGCGACGAAGGGACGCATGCACGTGTCGTTCACGTGCGTGCGTCCCTCCGCTGCGACGGTTGGAAACAACCGCAACGACAGACCAATCGCAGGTCGAGGAGAAGTGTTCGCGCGCGTTGCATGCCGGTCGCGGGCCGGCTGCTTCTATCCGCAAACATGGCGTCGGTTGTGATCGTCGACGTGGTAGACGGCGTGGTGGAGCTCATCGTTCTGCGTAAAAGCGCTATCCTTGACTGTGAATTTTCGTTGTGTGTCGTTATGATAACCCAGCACGTACTAGAAGGGAAGATCCACCTACTTGTGCGGCGATGTTGTGGCGGCACTCTCAAGACGGCAGAAACGCCCGTGTGGTCGTGTTTGTTTACTTCGACTACAGTGGTGCTTTCTAAGCATGTGTTTTCGAACATCGCCCGGATTCTTTATTTGGAGCATTTCATGCCTGTGTTCAAGTTGAAGGTATTACTGGCGCGTACCGTATAAAGGATGCGAATTTTCACGCGTTTTCATCGCCGGAGAAAAGTGATTAGGGTTAGCAATCCTGAACGTTCGCAACGTCCGTCCACAACCCACGACCCCGTTAAAAGGTTCCGCCAGGCAAAAGTCGCTCATTTCTTTCAAAATGTGTGACACACTTGAGAGAAAAGTGTACTATTATGCTGAGCTACGGGGCATGCGAGTGCCAATGTACGAAGCTTCAGACCTCTGTAATGTTTACAGTTGAAAACGAGCGTGTTGGTTAATAGGTACAAAACTTGAAAGTATAAAACAGAAAGTATAAAACTCTTTTAGAACGTTGAGACCCTTGGGGGGCGGTTTTATCGTTGTGCCATTCTATGTTGTTGCTAAATGAAAGATGTCCTGTTCCTGTCCTCGTCCTCTCTGTTTTATACTTTCAAGTTTTGTACTCTGTAATGTGATTGGGATTATCAGTCTGCATCCAGGAGCTACTGAAGCAGGGGCTGTCAAGACTGTGAAACTATTTCTGTGTCTGTTAAGAAGAATGTGAACATAATACTATATACATACCTACCAACTCTCCCGAATTTTTCGGGAGCCTTCCGAATTTTGATTACATCTCCCGATTGTAGGGACACAAACTGAAATCACCCGAAAAATGGCCGCCATAGGTTTTTTCTCTTTCCTTTATGACGCCCTATCGCTCTAATCACGCGTGTGTCAGTGCGATAGAGTTACTTGAGAGTAGGTTTAGGTTACTCTGGTGGGTTACCAAGTGACAACTCGGAGCAGCAGCACAAAACGAGGTAGATTTTCAAACGCCAAGGTGTGAAACCTCTTCTATTGAGTAAGTTTGAGCGCATTTTGGAACACGGCTTATATGATCGTGGGTGCGCTAGGCTTTAGTCGGCTTTGTCAAGTGGTCGAGTGAAGTGCGGAACGCCAAACTACTCTTTGTGGTGCCCGAGTTTAGTTGGAACGATCGATGGCGCTTTCAAAAGCCAAGAAGAAGTACTTGCAAGTATTTCTGAGGCCATACACGACTGAGGTTACATGCTTTGTTGCTTCGCGGAAAGCTGACAAGTATGGATCTTGTACCACGTGCACCTGTGATGTGAGCGTTTCGCACGATGTCAGGCCCGACATCAAGATACACATCGCTTCACTAAAGCATCAGAACCGTGTTCGTGCTGTAGAAGGGCAGGGCACCATCGGCAGTTTTCTCCAAAACAACTGCGAAAGACAGTGTGATCTGCGCAGAGTGCCTCTTCACGAAAAACTAAAAAAAAAATTTATTGACCTATCCGTTCCCCCCCCCCCCCCCGGCCTGCCCGCCCGCCCGCATGGCGGTCTCCCCAATTTTTATGTTGCTAGGCTGGCAGGTATGCACGTAGCATCAAAAAGAATCAATTTAAGTGAGCCAATTTTTCGACGCTTACCACAGGGAGCCAAACTTGCGCGAGCAGGTGCGTAAAACATTTTCAGAGTTTCATAATTGAGCAAATTCCTACCCTCGGTTAGGATCTCGACTCCGCGTCCACCAAGGCCATATTATTTTCATAAATGAGAGGAAATGTAACCTCCGTCCCAGCGTTATTGTGAAACATCGCAGGCATTTGGGCAAGAGCTCCGAAAAACGGCACCGCGAGCAGAGATAGACGAGGAGTGTCGTTTGCTTCAGCACCGATGCTGTACCGACTCCAAAACTGGAACTCGTTCTGGAACCGTAACTGGATTTGGACTCATTCGCACCTGGGATGAATCGAATGTGCCAGTGCAGTGGCCGTGCAGCTTCCGGTTGAATGATATGCACCAATTCCATCACTGCTGAGCTAGTTCAGCCAGTTCAGGCAAATCGAACAGATGTACTCACTGTCAGCCACTTGAGGCTGGTTCGTGACCCATTGTGTTGCAAACGCTTCTGATCGCTTACGACGAGAGGACAGACTGGCGCGCCAGCACCATCTACCAAGTAGCCCTGGCACTCTTCCAATCTCCGTATAACTGAACTTAACGTTTCAGCAGTATTTGCAAGATTAAATTTATGCACTATCTATGAGAAATTCTTGCTTGCAGCATTACCAGAATTAGTTCTAGCAGATGGGGGAAGAATGATGCTCAACATACGCATAATATAGCTAGGGGGAATAGTCTGGGGTGGGCACTTGATCTGTTCTTTCCTCGGTTTTCAAACACTTCAAAAGTGGCGGGCGGTCACTTATCACGACCTGGTCACGTGCTCGGTATTTTGCAATATTTCTGATTTTCCACCAACATCCATCTTCCTCGGTAAGAACAGAGCATGTCGGTTGTGTTTGCAGGCTGGTTCAAGAAAGGAACACGACATTTGCCATGACCATAGAGAACTTTATCCAGTGCACCCGGGAGAGCAACGAGACCTCGCCGACGGTGGTCATGCGGAATGTGAGTCGAGGATCGCTTTCTTCGGCAGTTTTCTCCGCCGCTTCACTTTGGGGCATGTTCCAGCTGCTTAGTTTGGGTGCTTGTGTTGTCCTCCCCGCAGATTCGCCAGTTCATGAGCGGGATGAAGAACTACCTCCTGAAGCACGGGGAGGGCCAGTTTGAGCAGCTGGTGCAGGAGGAGCAGTTGAAGGTCTGTGCACCCACTCTCGCCTCAAACGACGTTTGCATGTCTGTGCTTACAGCCTTAGTTAAACACACCCATTCCTTTCACATTGACATGGCTAGAATTTGTTCTATCCTCCCCCTCTCTTTCGACAAGTTTATCCTTTCTCTACGAATTGGTGTGCTGCGGAAATGCTTGGAGCATGGATATATATCTGGAAGTGGTACTAGTAACACTATGAAATTAATTTCAGACTTAGGCTGATTAGTGTCGAGACGTTACCTTTTTGTGGCCATGTAGCATGAAACAAATAGTGCTCATGTCCTTTTTAGACATGTTCATTTTTGTAAAAAGATAAAAAACATTTATCGGTTAAGTATCAATGAGGCTCAAATTCTCTGTAAGAAAATTGATGCTGTAAGCCACTTCTACTTTCTCGGACTAAATATTTCACAAATTTTGCAAAGTGTGGGGTTCGGAAATATTTTGCAGGAGCAAGATTTTGCAGTTTTGAGTGCTATGTTATGTATTTGTTATCATGAAATGATGTATTTGCATAACCAATTTTTCGCAACATCCTTTGAGTCGCAAAATTGAAGTAATTTACAGTATCTAGCACTTATCCAAGCTTCTAATTCATGACTAGTGTAGAGAACAAAGCCTGGTTTGATGTGACCGCTAATGGCGGTGACATTGCCTGTGCTAGCTCCTCTGCACACAGCCAGAGCGGCGTTTACGACGTGTCGATATCGCACAAATGGTCGTGTCTCGCGCCTACCCACAGCTCAAGTCCGACGAATTCATGAACATCGACGCCATCATTGAGGTTTCCCTTCACCGCCTGGTCATAAAGCCCCTGCGCCGCTACCTCTACCAGCTCTTTGTGAACCACTACACGAAGTGAGTTATGCATGCCTCATTATTTGTAAGTTTGGGACATCTGATGCACTTTTTCCCGTGACACGTGTAGCGAGAAAGTACTGCATCGTCAGTTGATCTTGTGATGGTGACATGGCAAGTTCATTAGTAGACCACTTGTGGTCACATCAAGGGTTAAGCAAAATCTGAGTTTAATTAATTGAAGCAACCTAGAGAAGTACTGACTTTACTGGCTTAATGATGGCAGATCTTGTATGTAATAAGGGTCATTAATAGTCAAAGATGACTGAAGAAATGGGGTCTGCGATATGTGTGATAAGATAGTGGCCCAGAACCGTGTCTGGGGGCACGTGGCAGCATAGCACGATGTAAGAGACACGCCAGCGCGCCATCTGGTTGTTGTACTCCATGACCATGTGCGGTCCCGCTCCTGGATTTGGCATCAATAAAGGAATGCAGCAACGAACCCGTATCGGATACAACACCGTGGCGACAAGGATGGGATTTGAACCCAGCTTTACCTCTAATGCAGTCATAGTGTTTGCAGTTAGTCAGACATCCTTTGCGAGTCTTTTGTGTAAATATGCTTCTATTTTGCGATCTGGCTAACCTCCTCGTTTGGCCACTCAGATCTGGATCTCTAAAACTGCTCTCAGACAACATCAAGTATGCCCGTACCAAGTCTCCGCAGGATCTCGGGATTAGGGTGAGAAGTTCATGACCGGTTTCGCCTCCGTCGTAAAGTTTTGGGACGCATCTCCAATGGTTGTCACCTGTTCTTCCCCAGGCGGAATTCGAACCTCCTCGAGGTGTGTCGCTGGAACTCGTCCAGTACTTCCTGCAGAAGTTGCAGAAGTCATACTCGCCACTCAGGAAGCTTGAGAATCTTCTTGCTGCCATCTCTACCATTTACAACAGCGTGAGTAGATGTTGATCCCATTTTTAATACCATATACAGTAGAACATCTTTTTAGTAAAGTCAGTTCGTAAAAAGGAAGTAGTTTGACTGCTACATTGGTATTTTTACTACCCTATTTGCTGCACTAAAATAAGTGAAGCGTTTGGATTAAAAAATGGCCTGCACTGTGACGTTTGTGCACACAGAATTTGAGTGCAGACTGCAAAGAAACCTAGAACTACTTTTTGTTGCGGATGGTACTGTTGCTGTGGCAGTAACGATGCCTCCATGGCCTCGACAATAGAGCATTGTCAGGTGACTTGCGCCGACACCCATTGGTTCGCAGGTGCCACAGCCTCCACAGCTTTCCAAGTTATCATGGAACGCAAAAAAGAGAGCACTTTCTTGTACAATCAACCTTGCCAGAGTTCCTCTTTTTTTTTTTTTCCAATTGATTTGATTTTTTGTGTTTGAAAATAGAATAGGACCTGCCATGTATAGGCTGCTTGTCTGCACAACAGTTCATCCTTTTTTGTACTATGTATAGGGTACATGTGCGAGGGGAAAGTGTTTT